CTCTTACCTGTTCTAAATTCTCAGGCTCTTTGATTTCTGTTCATCCTCTTGAAGTGTAGATGGTCTTACAGCAGTGACCGGCCACTTGGCAGGTACCAGGACACCAACACCAAACAAGTCACAGTTGATGTAAAATACGGAAACATTTGCCAGGTATTTGGTGTGTATTTATATTCACAGCTTTGAAAATGGTTTTCAAGGAGTGGCGGAAAGGCTGACGATTTTGACCTCCTGTAAAAGTGCAGCTGGATCTCTTCTCATCTATCATGGTAACTCTCCTTCTCCATCACCTGCTGTCGCTTTCTATTTCCTGGGCCACAATAACCATCATGCCATTTCAACAGGTTCTCATTGATGTCAAGGGTTGTCATAAAAGCCCCAAAACGTAATTACATCTTCTTTTTATTATGGTGAAAATAGCAAATATGATATCATGGAATTTAAAAAATCATGCCTGCCTGTAACTTTACTTGCCTATACCATTTTGTCCTCCATTCCAGTGTTCTGTAGCAGTGACATGTATGAGAGGAGGGGCCCAGGAAATTGTATAATTTATCATACTGTGACCTAATTACTTTTAGGCTTTCTGGTCTTCCTTTTTGATTCTGGTCTCATTTTTGGGAGGAGTTGACCTCACTGTTTTTGCATTCACCTGAGCTAAATTATATTAAATAAGGTTTTAATTGTACAGGTTTCTGTTGCTAAGTGGTGTTCCCTGTCTCCTGGCATGGTTTAGGGACACTCTCATGGATTCCTGCCGCTTCCTGCAGCTGGACTTGTACTGAGAAGATACTGATTCTTTTCCAGTGAACATGGCCCCTTTGCATCCTGAGTTGCCACTAGAGCCTGGTGAACAACTTCACCTATGTTCTCCTGTCCTAACTAGAGGTTTCCATCTGAAGCTTCAAAAAGCTAAAATAAGGCCAGGTGCAGCGACTTATGCCCAGCTACTCCAGAGGATTGTGGTTCAAGGTCAGCTTGGGGGAAAGTAGTTAGCCAGACCCAATTACAACCAGAAATCTGGGTGTGGTGGTGTGCACCTGTCACCCCAGCTCTGTGGGGATGTAAGTAGGAGGATCCCTGTCCGGGATGGCCCAGTCCAAAAATGCAAGACCATATCTGAAAAATAACTAAAGTAAAAAAGGGCTGGGGACTTGGCTCAAGTGGTAGAGCACCTGCCTTGCATGTGAGGCTCTCGGTTCAAACTCCAGTAGCACCAAGAAACAAGAAGTTAAAGTAAACAAATCTTAATGAAATAAACATTATGATCTGGAGTCATAAGCCACTCACAATTTAGTATTTATGGAGAGAAGCAGATTGCAGAGCAGAGTGAGCACCTTCTGTAGGAAATACACACTTCTATGGGTAAAGCATTAAAAACAGCAGAAGGTCAGCTAAAGTCTCTTGATGGCAGTATTTGGTGACTGTGGTTATTTTCTGTTTGTTTTTTTTTTTTTTGAGATAAGGGATTGTGATGTGCTTAGGCCAGCCGGGAACTCAACATGTAGCCCCACTGGGACTTGAACTCTCCACCCTCCTGTCTCTGCTTCCTGAGTTTAGGGATTACAACTGTGAACCAGTGCACTTGACTTGTACTTCTAATTTTTACAAGAATGGTGAATGTAGGCATTGTATAACTACAATATATGCTTTTTGAACATATATTGTGTCAAAAATGGAAAATAACTTGGAAAAACAGAATAAAGTTTATAGTTTAGTTCATAGTATTGATCTATAACATTGAGTTCTTAGTTCTGACAATTGTCCCATGGTTCTGTGAGATGGTATGTTATAGAAGGTGGATGAGGAGTATGGGAACTCTGTACTATCTTTGCAACTTGTCTGAAAATCTAAAGTGATTTAAAAATAATTAAAAAGTGAAAAAGCAAGAGATTAGGTTTGGGGCTGGTTGACCTATGGCTTTCTGTTCACAGTGTGCCAGAATGGAGTCATGAGATAACATTCTAGGGATTTTGTAGGTCAGGTGTGAGACACAATGATTAGCCAAAAATAAATTTTATGAGTTTACAATTGAATTTTACTAAAGCAAATGTAGTATTACTTAAACCTCATCACTTCCTTATTGTTTACTAGTCAATTCTTGTTATCTGTGGTAGTTACATTCTAAGACGTATATAACACAGGATTGTTACTATCCTACAGTGAGTACTATCCTAAAACCACTGCTACTAGGGGAAGCCAGGGTTAAGTTCCTGTGAGCCTCTGGTCACAACATTTTATCAGCTGATCAGCATAACCTTGACTAATGTTTCAAGACACCTTATTTAATATATACTGATGACTTATGAACATTGCCAGCACTGTGAGAGCCAAGTGAAGTGTCTGTAACACATGGCTTTTCAGCCTCTTCTCATATTTAGGACCACTACCACTACACAGCATTTTGGCACTAGGCTTGGTTACCAGTTTTGACAGTAATATTGCCAACAGAAAGCATAAAAATGCAGGCAGAAAATGTGGTAGTGGCCAAGCATGTGAATTGGCCTGAGAGCTAGAATAAGAAGGCAGAAAGTTGCCTTGTTGAAACTCAGCTGGGAAAGTGTGCCTGGGGCAACCCAAATTTTCAGTTGTTCTGTGAATGTCCACGAAGAGCCCCAAATTCACAATGAGCATAGACTTGGGGTCTGCAAATAAATTTTAGCAAAGAGGCAAATTTGCAAATCTAGAATCTGTGAATAATGTAGACCAACTATGCATTTTACTGTGATCTATGCTTCTGAGGACATTTACCTCCACTGCATGGGTTTAATGGGAACATGATGTAACTGTGTGCACCTTCCAACTCTTGTGTACAGTGGTATTACACCAGCTGTGGGAAATTGGCCACACTGGGAGTATTTACGATACAGAAACTGGCAACTACTACCCATTGAAGCTTGGTTTGCTGATTGTCTAGATTTAAGAAAATGATGGAGGAAATTTTAGTAATGCAAATTAAACTTAAAACAGTGTAGTGTCTGGAGCCATTACACTGCGACTACCACAAAAAATTGAAGATCTCTTCTTCCCATATTCACGAGCTATCTGATTTAGCAAAGAAGTCCTTCCATGATTGGTGAATGAGTGACATTCTAACATATCTTTTTGTCATTTCAATTTCATCTTCATCATTATGGCAAGGAAATAACAATATTCTCTTAAGATCTACACACTTACCAGTCATACTGCTGTGCCAGCTATATGATAATCAACAAAAGCAGAATCACTTGTCCTAGCAATTGTGTTTTATTATTATTTGTAAGTTGTGTCCTGCACATCCTTTGAACATCTACAGCTTAAATTTATATCCAGAGAGCTGGTTGTTTAAGCAACATATCACTGCTTCAAGTTGAGTGACCTCAATTATTTTACCACCATGTCTCCATTTAATTAGGTGCAAAACAAAGAAGGATTATAGATACTTTCCTCATAGATTTCAGTATTGTTCTAAAACTTTGTTTTGAAACAGGGATGCCATGGACCTCAGCCTCCTCTCATTAGCCACCTCCTCTGCAGGGCAGAACCTGGTCCAACTCATCTGTGGGTGCACCCTCTCCCACATTTCCAAAACTGGCCCTGGAAAGCCAAGTGTCTAGATTGAACCTGCAATCCCTGTGCAGGCAGGAGAAAACTCACCACTAGGTGGCATGAGCAAGATGTCTTTGATGGCTTTTGGTCCTTCAAACAACATAATTATTTGGAATACTTGACAATGCTCATGATCCTCTTCAAGCTAGAGAGAAGATAAGTGAAGTGTTTCAAGTCTGCATTCACGGTGCTCTGGCCAGAGAATTCTAGTCTTGTGATGAGTGAGGGTAGCCACCCTGAGAAAAAATGTTAACCTTTGAGTCCCATTGTGGACAACTGCAAAATAAACTGAACTTCATCTATGGCAGAACCAATTCCCCTTTAGCAAACCCACTTTCATTGTCTTCCACAGTGTACAGTGTTTGTGATCACTGCTGGCTGCTCAGTACTTTCCACAATTGTGGCCCTCCCAGGTATGTCTCACCTAAGGAGGAGTCCTCAGAAAAGCAGCCCTCCCCTGCCCCAAATCTTCCTGCCAGACCTCCCAAATTGGTGCCAGTTAGTGGTGCTGCCTGCTTATCACAGGTAACAAGCACTAAACAGTTCTTGAAACTGTCATGTTAAGTACCTTGAGTCCATTGGTAGCCACCTTAGGCACAGTCTCAAAAGGCCGGGGACCAATGATAGCAGGAGGGTTTTCCTGCATCCTCCCTCCCTCCCCCATGTCTGGTGTTGGGTATTACTGGAGAGGCAATTTATTTTTCTTTGAAGGGGAGGTGATAAATAACTCTTCCCCAGAGTCCTAGAAAAGTCTACAAGACTTCAGCTGCCACCTGTTGGCGAGAATGTTCCCTCCAGAAGGGACCACACCCCAATGGCTAAACCATAGACTCCTGTGCACTTGTCTCCCTGTTGGGGACTCTCTCAACCACTTTCTCCCTTTCAAGCCAAAAACTAAACATTGCCATTTGAGAACTAAGATAATAAAAATTAGCTCCGTTAATTTTCTGCTGCATGGATTTCATGAATGAAGATTTTGTAAGGAAGATGCTGACTGTACATATAGCTGGCTTAATTTATTTCCACCCTTCTTCTGTGTTTTAACATGAACTCTATTAATAATTCTGATGGGCAGTATTACATATCTGGAATGATTTTGGTCCTTTTAATGAAATCTTCTTGAGGGTATTCCAAGGTGGATCAATACTGAACATAAAACAAGTTTCATATAAAGTGCAGACATCTCTCTTTACCTGAAACACAACGAAACATTATCTTGTGTTCTTGAATGAAACTAAAGACAGACAAAGGTGGAGTCTAAGGATGTCAACCCCAGTGGAAATTCCTTGGTGCCTCCAAGTTCAACAACCGACTGTCAAGGAATGAATAAAAAGTCATAGAGACAATTTTGCAACAGATAATGGTTCAGAATGAGTTAAAATAACCACAAAGACAGTTTTTATTTCTTCCAAGTTTATTTTGAATTTTCATTTTTGGATAACCAAGCAGCTCTTTAAGGAGAATGCACAGAAGAGTCATTCTGGCACTTTCGGATAGTACATAAGATTTTTTTTTAATAGTCACATTCAGTCCCCTTGCTCAATCCATAGTCTCCCGTTTGGTGAGCAAGATGGGCCCATAGGATTCCAGAGTTAATACGTAACCGTATATACAAACAGCCAGTAAAACCATAATGGTGGCTAGCGGCCAAAGGAATGGAGGAGGGGAGGGTATCTCTAACGTGCCCTCTAGTCTATCTTAGCTAAACAGAACCCACGTTACACATGATAACTAGAGAGTACACTGTGTTGAAGTGAGAATGCTGAGCACGAATGGCACTTGGCAACATGCAGTTTAAAGAAAAGGGGTATCATTTAATAACTTTATATAAAATCCAGGCAGTTCAATTAAAGGGGTTAAGAAAAAAGCAAAAAAGTGAGGGACTGTCTGTTGTCACTGTAAAAAAGGCACTTGGAGTTAATGGGACCAGAATTGAAAGACTCTTAGCTGATAAAAATTTCAGTATGGTTTCATTAAAAGGCTTAGATGTTAAGAGATGACACCTAGGAGTTCCTGAAGGGAGACACTGAAATAAACCACTGAGAACCAGAACAGATTAAACTGAGGGAAGAAAATTTTTACAACCAAATTGTACTCAAAAAAAATAAGCAAACCCCAAAATGAAAGCTAACCAAAGCAAAATCTAAGCAAAACCAAGACAACGAAGCAGCGATGCATAGCTTTCCTGTGAGATAATGCCTATCTGGGGACACTAAGTGCCCACCTAATTTCTCAGTAATAGCTTCACAGTAGCATTATCGTGATAAAATGGATTCAAGCAATGCAAAAAGAGTTTCATCTGTTCCCAGAATCTGAGGGAGAACTGAGGTGATCCTTGGAGCATAGTAATATCATGTGTGTTTTTTTTAGCGTCCCTGGTGGTGGACATGTCAAGTCTGTGGACTGACATTCAGACACTTCTCCAGCCATTAGCCTGGAGGGCCAGCATCCACCAGTCATCCTTTTTTCTGAGTAATAACTTTGATTCCTTTCCACCACTGACACAGCAATGTCAATGCAGTAAACATCCACTTCATGTTGTTGTTCAGCTTCCTCCACAAACAGGTCCACACTTCCGGAAGAAAGGATATTTGGCAATTTTATATTCCACAGTTGGCTGGCTCAGAGATGGCTCATTTGAGGTTAAAAGCCATCAGAGGTCTCTCCTCCCGTTTCTGCCAGGGGCTTTTCTTGTCCTCTCCTTGGTCGTCATCATCATCATCCTCTTCGTCTTCATCATGAGCAGATCTTCTCTGTTGAGGACTGGCTAATGGCTCTGGGGGGCCGTCTGCAGTTCGTTTGGTCGTCTCCTCCTGCAGGCTGGGCAGCTGACCCCCACTCCTCCGGCTTGAGCCTTCCAGTAAGCATCGCAGTGCACTGTCCTCAGGGGTGCAGACTGTGGTCCCACACTCACTGCCACTCTGGTCCATGTCATCGAGGTACACGAGCTGCGTGTAGGTGGTGCTGTCTGGGGCTCTGGGTTCTTTCTGCTGGTGCTCCTGGACAGGTGGGTGGCTCTGCTGGAGAGACAAAGGGTCTCCCCTTCCCTTGCGGGCAGATTTTGGTTCATTCATATCCACACCAGAGTCCAAACTGGCATCATTACTTCCATTTCTTCCAGCTCTTTGGAGATCAATGTATGAATGTCTAACGTGAGCATTGGACCTTCCATCCAGGGAGACAAACCATGCTCGTGGGTGTGGAGTGGCTTCCCACCCCCAAGTTCCATCAGTGCCTTCTCTGTCAGGAGCTGCACCTCACTGTTCATCTGAGCCAAAGCTGCATCATTCAAGGAGGCTGGGATGGACAGGGATTCTGACATGGATGCATTCTGAGGGCTCCACTCCCGCGTGCCCGCCTCCTGCAGGTGCTGTTGAGAGATGGCCTGGGAAGACAAGGGCTGGCCCTGCATCTGAGAGGATGGGTGTGGGAAGATCCCTGCATGAGGGTTGGAGAGCTCAGCCTGGAGCCTTCCAATATCCAGCTGCTGGTCGGGGACAGCTAGAGGTTGGCTGACATAGGAATGGTCCCCTGGGAGTTTCATATAATGAGCAGGGATGACCAAAGCAGGCAACACTTTTCTGTAAATGCTATCATTGACCTGGTCCACAGAACTACAGCAGATCAACTGGCCTGGCCTTGGGAAAGATGTAGGTCTCTCCAGGTGATCGACTGATCGCGACATCATACATTCAGTAGGTCTGCGGTCCAGCAGTTGTTCTTTTTCAGGGGAAGAAGGTGAAGGGTACATGTGTTCCTGAATGGTGAGTTTGCTTCCTGCTGATGCTGGGCCTTCTCGGTCCTGCTTTTCAAATAAAGGCTGGGAGAGCATAGCATTGTAACTACCCCTGTAGTCATCCTTGCTGGGGGACTCGTAGCCTTCTCTTTCCATAGATTTTCTTGCCTTTAAGGGAAAAATCTCCACAGATTTATGGTAGTCTTTCCCTAGTGTCTCACTTGGCGTCAGGTTATCAAAGGATGCTTGGCTTTTATCCTCTTCCTTATGGGACAGCAATTCTTCCCGGGAGCTAAATTCTTGTGAGGTACTGTAGGAGAGCTTCAGCATGGGCGTATGCAGGTCCCCCTCTCCACTGGGGGACATCATTTCTAAATGGACCCCACTCATCAGCTCCTTTGTCCCTGGGGCCTCTGGGCGGCCATGACTGGAGACAGACAGTGGACCAGGAAATTCTGACACCCGGCGAGAAAATAGCAAGTTGATGTGCGACATAGATGTTGACTGATCTCGTTTGGAACTCTCAAGGGCTGCTGGAAGCTGCAGTTTTCTATGATGCTGACGGGGTTTCAAGCATTTCCTCCTGTGACCAAAGACACGACCCAAACACACAGATTAGATATTCTCATGATGGCAAAGTTTCAACTTTCAGGTAAAATCCTAATTCCAATTTACACAGGAGAAAGAAAACAAAACATCTAACCAGTGGCCAGAAGCCCCCTCATTTCACACCTGCATCTTTATTTTAACTCAGCGCAGCATAATCTGGGGATTGCATTCTAAGACTTTTATAAAAACAGTCAAGTTATTCACTCAGCAGGGATCACCCAAGAGCCAACAGTAGACATTCTTACTAACTGAACAGGCAAAGCATCAAAAGAAGAATAATTCTGCTTTGATCTCAAGAGCATTATCTCTTAACCAGTGTTTAAGAAGGAATATTCTGAATCATATGGCCATTCCAAAACTGTTTTCATAACCGGCCTTCTAAGCAATGCTACCCATAGCATGCCTTATGCATCCCGTCAGTTCACCTGCAACTTAGATCACACATTTTTCCTTAGATATTCTTTGGGGTTTTTAAAGTTTTTTTAATTTTATTTTTGAATTATCATAGATTAATAATGCAAGAGGATTTCACTGTGGTAATTCCATATATGAGTAACACTGTACCTTGAACAAGTTCACCTCCTCCATTACACTCCCCCCCCCCTTTTGCAAGCAGTGCTCTAGCACACTTCCATCCTCTTCACCCCTCAGTGGCTTTTCCTTTCACCCTGATCTCTCCTGCTAGTTCCCTCTTCTCCCCTAGCCCCCACGTACATTCACGTTCCATTATTATTATTGCCACCCAGATATTCTTTCAGGAGAAGAAAAAGCAATCCAATTTAGGGAAAAAAAAAGACCTCCATATAAATGCTTCTAAATACTAACAAATTCTGCATTAAAGAATATATTGCCAAAATGGTAATACTTTACCTGCAGTAATATAAAAGGAGACACAGCAAAACCAGAAGTATGAAAGCCATTCCTCCTAATATGGCCAAAAGAAACACAGTGTGATACGTAGTAATGTCCTGTGCTACAACGGGACCTAGAGGGCCAGAAAATGACATTTTAGAGTTTTGAAAGCCTTAAAAAAAAAGAGAGACAATCAGTTGAGAACATAATGCTTTTTCTTCCTTGTCCTGGCTAGGGCACAGAGCAGTGATGAAAACACCCCTGAGATAATGAGATTGTGGCACCCCCATTTCATTCCACAATCAACACTACCATGGAAGCTTCAGTAGCTGGTAGGACTTAATACTCAAATACAAAACGCAGTTAGTAAACAAGTGAGCCTCATTCAGCAGCATGTTAAGCATTCTAAATAAACGATCTCTTACTAAAGATAACTTAACCAGTAGACTCTCACGTCAAGTGATGGTCTGAGGACCTGGGGATTTTATTTGCTGAAAAAAAAAAAATCACAAGATCTTATTCTCACTTTTTCTGGGCAGTCACTATTGCTGTGTGGCGCTCCCTTTGCTTAAATGAATCAGTTTAAATATATGATGTAAATTTACTTTAAGTGTGACAAAAATGCTTTCCATTTAAAGAGTGAAATATTCCAGTTAGGTGCTGGTGGCTCAGATGCATAACCCTAGCTACTTAGGAGGCTGAGATCAGGAGGATCAGAGTTCCAGGCCTGCCCAAGCAAAAAGTTTGTGAGACCCCATTTCAATCAATAGCTGTGTGCAGTGGTGATGTCTGCCATTCCAAGCTACACGGGAGGCTGAGATCTGGAGGATCTTGGTTCTAAGCCAGCCCAGGCAAAAAATGTTCATAAAACCCCCATCTCAATGTGTCTGCCATCCCAGTGATGGTGGGAAGCTTAAAATAGGAGGATTGTGGTCCATGCCAGGCCTAGCATTAAGAAAAATAAAATAAATAAAAAATTCCTGTTTAATACCTTTTGAAAAAGGCTAGACTTGCATGGCTGCAGACCTCTTTCAAACGTCTAGATAAAGTTACTAGAGATAAAAATATTTTCTTTTTACTCCACATTGTAAAGAATCCCAAGAGTTTGACTCATACTCTTGATGTTCAGTAGTAGGCAAATCTTAACATTACTGTCAGTAGTCTTAACATTACTGACAACAGACTGATAGCAATAAGAAATCCTATGCAAATTATAATTTTGGGGGCATTTATTGGTATCCAGTACCCTGGCTGTATACCAGTTCAGGAAGGGACAGCCTGTGTTTTTACATTATTTCAGGTTACCATAAACACTGATTTACTTATTTTATTTTGAGTATTGATATCCTAAGAGGTCATTTCTTTAGAGAAAGCTAAGGAGACAAACTTCTTAATTTAAGAGATAGATGAACCAAGGGAGGTTTACCAATGTTTGAAAATAGTGACATTTTCTGAGACCAAAGGATGACACCATTTTCTTCCAAATATAATTCATGTGGGCTTAATGTTTACAAAGTTGGGAAAATAACTCATAACTCTATACTGCCTTAATTATTCACAGGAACAATTATTTATACAAAAGCAATGTCCTCATATGTAGACAAAGCCTTATTAGAAACCACCAAGAAAACCTGGGTACCTGGATCTGATCTTTAGTACTACAACAAACAAACAACTCCTCCCTCCCCATCCCCTCTCTCACTCCTCACCGCCCCCCCCCCACTGCAAAGAAAAGGAAAAAAAAAACCAGGAAAGTAAAAGAAACCTTTGGGTACATATGCAAATCATTTCCAAGTAACTAAAGTTTGGTTTGGTAAGGATTGAGAATATAATTATTTTAACCTCTGCCAGTGGAAATTTGCATGAAATTAAACAAAACCCCAATTATTTTCTTGGTTTTGCATTTGTGAAAGCATAGCACTGTAATTTGTTTTAATAAAAGTGATGGCTGTGAAGTTAGCAGTATATGTATCTGTCTGTGCTATGTATGATTTTTATAGCTTTGAGCCTCTTCTTTCACTGCTAGGAAGTCCCCTGGGAACCCATGTCCCACAGTCCCTTCTTTCCTCTTTATGAAAGCAGATATTAATCTGTCACAGATGGGAAAACTCACAGCCACAGTTGTTTGAAATATATCTAAAATAAAAGTTGACTTTAATGCATGAGCTTTGTGGCAAGTTTTTTTTTTTCCTTCTTTCCTTTTCTGTGTCTGTGCTTTGATATTTCATATTAAGAAATGAGGCATTGCTGTACCCTGTTCATGCTTCTAATGTTATGAGAACGATTAGCAGCAAGGAAAACACACACGAGGTAAAATTTTTCTCAGTATGGGAAGACAGAGCTCATGTGACAGATTTCTCAACACCTATCTAAAATAGCTTCCATCATATTAGTTACTTTGGGAGTCTAAGTGTTAATTGCCGTGATAATCCCATTGCTAAAATATTTTGAACTTTCATTTGGCAACTGCCTTCATGGGTAATTTGCAAGAGATACCTTTTACTCATAGCATATTTTGACCTTGCTTGATTAACTATCTACTTTAGTCTTCAGATTTGGATATGCATGAATTTTAGATGTTTTTCTTTTTTTTTTAAATCAATAGTATCCTCTGAGCATAAGATTTTGCCACCAAGGAAGAGATTCCTAAGGTAGGCAGTCCAAGTGGCACAGATTCTAAAGGTAACTGGAGTACGGGAGCCACCCCTGGAATAGTTCTCCCAAGATGCCTATTTTGAAAAAAAAAAAAATTCTGGAATACTTACTGGGATAGAGATTAAAAATATTCTTTAAGATTAAAAATACACTTTAAAGTACTATTCTGAAAAAAATAAGTTAATTCACTTCTTCTAATGGAGAGTATTCTTTTGGACACAAAGCAATTGGTTTACAAAGCCTTTTAGAAATGCCAAATTAAGCACTTAGCACCAAGAAGTCCCCAGTGGTGACTTTCTGCTAGTCTGTTGAGTGCTCTTCCTACACGCTTGCTTACACCAGGTCACAGCTGTTTCAGGAATTAGGGAGGAGGTCTCAGCCGCCTCTGTGGGCTCTTGATTCAGAATTCCCTATGGCAGCTGTCCTGAGCAAAACAGGGACAAGACACAGGACTATTTTCTATGCATTACATTATTATTATCCTACATGGAAAAGTTCCAACCAGAACTCCCCCAACCCTGCAAAATACCTTTTATCCATCATTTGATTTTCAGACTTTTAACTATTTTTGAGTAGGATATGATCTCTTTGCTTAACTTATTTTCAAAAACATACTTAGCCTGAGCCTGAAAAGAAACCAAAGCCCATCATTGCCAGTGTTGCCTTTGTGTTACCTGGGATGGGAGGAGACATAGCTGCTACCCAGTATCCCAACTGGGGGGCAATGTACGTCCACGTCAGCTGGCTGCCCTCCTGGTGCACGAGGCCTAGACCACTCTTTAGCCACGTTCCTGTGGGATTCAGAAAAGAACTTCAGCTATATGCATGATAAGCTCCTATTTAAAGCTTAAGCATTTGTAAAAGTCACCTTAAATGTCATGTTTATAACTCATTTAATAGCCCAGAGAGTCAAATTTTCATCCAGGGACTACATGCAAATTTCTGTAAAGATTTTTGCAACTTCCTTTCAGGGAAAAGGTGAACAATGTTAGTTTTTCTTTGCCTTCACAATCAAATTAGCTTCAGCCACTTTATCAAATAATCTTCCTTCCACACACAGATAATTTCAGCTGAAGCCTTTGGAGTTCAGAAGCAGAATTACAGCAGCATGCTAGGGGTTGGTGGAAGTGAAGAGGAAGAGAAGGATGCAGTGCATTTGTCATTTTTATCCTTGAGTAAATGAACAAATCTATCCCCAATCTCAGACTAGCTATATCACAAACACTTAGGATTTTTGTGTGTGTGTGAGATGCTGAACCCAGGGCTTTGTGTATGCTAGAGAAGTACTAGATGATTGAGCTATACCCTCAGCCTGTTGTTTTATGAAACAGAGATTCCTTGATTTCATTTTTACAAATTCTGATACAGGAAGCTTGGCTTAGGTAAGTGTTTTAAAAAGCTTCCAGTTGGTTCTGATGAAAGGAAACACCACATAAGTAATGCCTCTGTTCTATCTTCAGTTATTACTTTAGCTAACATTTACCACTAAAGAACACCTGTCACGTACTATGTCGTCACAGTATATGGGTCTTATATACAGTATCCATCATTCTCACAACAACCCTACAGAAAAGGACTTAATTTCCTTTTTTGGATGAGGACATTGAAGGCTGGTGACTTTCCAAACTTACTCAAGCCCAGTAATGATGAGCACAGTGGAACAGGCCCTAGGTCTGTGTGACCACAAGGCTGGGGCTCTTTCTTTTGCTTTGTCCTGTCCCAGTCCTATAAACCTTCCCAGGTCTGTTAACTTTGTTATTTTATAAAGCTTGTAGGAGAGGACCCATTGAGGGAGATTAACTTGCCCAAGGCTATTGGGTTGTTTCCCAACCCCAAATGGAGACACTGGCCTCATCTGGCTCACCTGGCAGAAAGACCCTTGTACTGAGGCCTGTGATAGCCACTGAGGGCAGAAGGCAAGACAGAGGTGGGCTAAACCATCCCAGGGCTGGTGCATATCATCCTGAATCACTGGTATGGCAATCCAGCTGCACACCCAGGGTGCCTGCATAGCCCAACTTGCTCCTAAAATCATCAGCCACTAAAATGGCTGCATGTGTGACCCTGTGGTACTAGAGGCCTCAACGATCCAAATATCATAGCCCGGTGTCACTGGAACTCTAGTGGATTTTACTCCCTGAAGAAAGAAACAATATTTGGGCTGCTTCTAGGCACTATCAGTTGCCATAGCAACATTCAAATGCTGCGGGTGGAAAGGTGCCCTGTGATGCCCAGGATCTCATAGCCCCCTCCTCTGCTCAGTAGGCAGCCACACAAAGGGGGCCTTGGGGAGAGGTCAGGCATCCTCAAGACTTTATATTCTCTGGCCTTCTCATGCAACAGGCTACTCATCACTATAGATGATTTAGGTTCAAGTTAGAGCAGAATAGAAGTTAAAAGGTTTCTAAAATGAGTATGAGAACATAGATGCTCAGTTCCATTCCTTTCTTGAAGTGTGTCAACCCAGAGATCATTTAGCAACTTAGAGTCACCAGTTCCATGGGGCATCTATGGAAATAGAAACAGAAGACATTGGTCACATTAAGAAGAAGGGTTTCTACACTGGGCAAAAAAAGGTTTCCCTGGAGATAGAGAATCAATGTTTCCATTTCTATCCAGGGTTCCCTTTCTTCTGTCATGACTTACATACCTTACCCACTCCCACACACAGCTCCCCCAAGAACACCGCAGGCAGAATCTCTGATCAGCCAGGAGTGGCTGTGCATTCTTTGGTTTGCAGTTTTCCCCAGATTAGATGCTTGAGTCATTGCTCTTCAAGTGGGGTGGATACTAAAAGGGACCTAGAGGATAAGAGCTGGAAACTCAGTCCTAATTCCTGCTCTTCCATAAGCAAACCACCAACTTTGTCCCTCAGCTGCCTTTGTCTTCTACAACACAAGAAAAATCAATTGAAACCAACTAAAAATTCCTCCAAGTTACATCTGAGACAAGACAAGTAGGTGGACAGACACATACATACCACACAGGCCCCTAGGTCTAGCCTGAAAACCCACAGTCTGAAGACGGTGGTGGTACTACTGGTAGAAGTCAGAAAGGCCATCAACTGAGGAAGACACAGATGTTTTGAAAGTACAACGAGGTAAACAGTGTCACTTGAGGCAGTGGAGCAGGCATTGGTATGAACTCAGTGTTGATGGACAAGCAGGGTTTATCTGTTTGGACAGTGGATGGTTATGGAGCCAGGAGAAAGAGAAAGAGGACATTCCAGGGAAAGGGAACAGCAGGCACAAAGGTATGGAGCAGTGGCATGTAAGATGGACAAGAATGGGGCAGGGAAAGGTCCAGGGTGAACAGGAGGGAACAGTTGGGACAAGACTGGGAGGAACTTGAAACACCAAGAGCAATGGAAGCCCACTGGGGACCTGTAAATGAAGGCGGACCCACCCCTCTCTCTCTTACATTCCTTTGTCTTCTTGGCACTGGAAATATCCACAGAGTAGGAACTCAACAGTACTTCAGATTGAGTGAAAGCTAGAGGACCAATCCAAAAACTAACATCAGGTAACTTTTAATGAAATGCTGGGTGTGGTCCTGAGGAAAGAAGTCCCTTCAGAAGCGTGACTAAAATGGGATGCTGCCCTTCCAACTGAAAAGGAACAAAGCCAGCTGGGAAGTCACTTACTTTGGCATGCATTTTCTGTAAAACTCACACGTAGCCAGTGACTAAAATGTGACACTGTTTTGGATTTAATGATCATGCTGTTACTGGCAAAAGCATTTTCCAAGCTTTCTGCCTTTGTGGGGAGGGAACAAGCTACAGGGAACACAAGAATTAATGAATTGTGTTCTGGAAACATATGTTGCTCATTACTGCAGTCCTGATGCTGCCTGCTACAGATGAGGGTGTTTTCCCTTCCCATCCATCAGAAGAGATTATTATGCTCAAGGTGGGTGATGAGGCTGGGTTCTTTACAGGTAAACCACAAGCAAAGCAAACACATCTCCCTAAAGTCTCTTCTGTTGAATAGCCTTATGGGGTGGTGGGACACTGCAACCAGGATGCTTGCAGAGGGTACTCATCACGCATAGGTGGGGAGCACTAGGCACTGCTGCTCAGCAGAATAGGACCAGGACTCGGGTGCTCCTTGCTCTAGCTGCAAGGTCTCTTGTTCTTGTCCTCCAGCTGGTTCATCTGCTCTTTGGATGCCTTTGGGCCACTGTGTTGCCCAAGGGTCCTGGGAAGCTTCTTGCCTTTGTGCTCCTAGTGTCATCCCAGCACCTAGCAGAGCTGCCTCCTCATCCACTTTCTCTGAGATTTTCTTTCTGCCTTTCCTCTTTCCAGCTTACTCCTTCCCAGTCCCTTGGTATTACTTCCTTCCTGGGTCTTAGGACTATGACCTCTGCTAGGATATGCAGCACTAAAGACAGGGCCACCTGGGAAAGGTGGGCAGGTAGCACCTGGGCTTCTTGTGTTTGCAAGCCCAGTCAGAGTGCCACACTCAACCTTCAAACGACACAGCCTCAACTACACCAATTGGCTGCTGAGGGGGTAGCTCAAGAGTTGGTTGGGTGACATGTGCCTCTTTTCTCTGAGCAGGCCTGTGGAATAACATGTGTGTGAAGGTCATGCAGTGAACCCACTGGAAGTATCAAGGAATGAAATTTGGCATGATGAAAATTTTTATGTCATCAATTTTCAAATAGTTTTTAAGGCATTTGAATTCCTTCTAATGGAATCTCAAACAGAAATGAATATATAAAATAGACGAAAGGTAAATTTCTTTGCACAAAGGTGAAGAGAAGTCCCCTTCCTATGCAATCCTCAGGATACCTCCTAAACATGGTCTGGAAGCTACTCTTCTATATCTGCCAAGATCTGAACAGGCACTTTCATGCAAATCCTAAAAAAGTGCAGTTGATTTTGAGCCAGACACAAAATTTTTTATTGCTAACTCAGGGTAATGATTATGACCAACTACAGTGCTAGGTTCTAACATACCAATGATTTGGGAATACAGAATTGAGGATTATAGAGGTGTTTGCTGTTATGATACACAGTTCCACTCTCCCTCAGGTTCACTTCCCCTTTCTTCTTTTCTATAGCTTGCCATGTTCTGGTTATCAAGTTCTGCTCCTTTACGATCACCAATCCCCCAACTTCCCATGTGGGGCAGTCAGCTACTGGGAAACAGATTGCCCACCTTACCAAAACTGTGTCTGGAATAATGGACACAGGTGGTGTGAGGGATAAGAGAATGAAACCAGCTACCAGACAGATACTCTGAATCCAGGCTTGGAACTTTTTCATCTGAATTATCCTCTAAAGTTAACCTTATGCCATGGAAAGAAAGAGTCAGAGATATTTTCAATAATAAATAATTATGTATTTATTATAACTAATATAAAGAGTATGAGTTAGTTATATATTCAGCTGGTGAGGTTCATTTTGCACCATGAATTCTTCATGTGGAAACTACAATGATTATGGCATGTAATAACTGACAGGCAGAAAGGCGTGTCTCATTCTCATCTGTAAGATGAGAGGGATCTCTTAGCAATCACCAGTGGCGCTTGGTTACCAAGCAATTTCACTGTCAACTTTTATTTGCAGCATATAAAGAAAAGTGAGTTCAAATATTGAACAAATGGCTCTTCAAAGGCAAAAGAATTCTGAAATATGAAAAAGGGCTCACCAAAACTGCAATGTCTAATTTGAACACAATCTAAACAGCTCAGGTTTACCTTGCTTCTCCTGCCTGGTGCATTTATTCTGCACGGACACCCTCTTGAACAGTCACACTACAGCTCAACATGCATGTGGAACAAGACC